GGAACGCGGTGCCCCCGCAGGTCACGCACGCCCCGCGAAGCTGGGCGCTGAGAAAGCAATCCAGAGGTGGCCCAGAAGCTTACACTGAGAGGGAGAAAGAGGGAAAAAAATCACAATTATTACCTTTAGAGTCACAGTCTAGGCTGGCAGCCAGGTGTTTTCAGCCAAGCAATAGTTTCAAATCTCTGCAATTCAGAAAAAGAAAACCCAGATTTAGAATGTGTTGTGGGGTTGTTTCCCCCAGTGGGGCAGGTTAAAGGGGCGAGTGAGTGGGAAGAAAGGGGCAGATGGAAGAGGCTTCTTAACATGTTGGAGGGAAGGAGAAAAGAAAAAGTCCCCCCCCCCCCAAAAAAAAGAAAGGGTGGGAAGGACCAAAGGGAAAGAGACAGTGAAGGGTTAGGGTTTCACATCGACCGCGGGACAGGACCGGGAGAGCAAGGCAGGACTTGGCCAAGAGAGGGCTTCAAGATCAACTGTATTAGAAGGTTAATTCAGTCAAAATCAATTCAGCAAAAGTGGCTCAAGTGATTTTTTCCCCATACCGAATTGACTGCCTTCTGATTGAATTGATTAAATTAACTAGTTATTTTTAATGATGTGTGAAAAGAGAAAATGAGTGCATAAGCCCACTTGCAAATACACAGATCCAGGTAATGCTCTGATTCGAACACACTAACAATCTGGCAAGCATTAAAAAAATACAAATACCTACATACACAGAGGTTTGTATGCATATGCATGTGTGTGTGGCAATGCTGAATGCTGTCAAAAAGCGTCATGGATGTCCCCCAGAATATTCATAAGCATACTATGTACATACATACATATATACATATATAATACATATTCAGAGTTTTGTTCTTTCTAGGGTCCAAATATTAATTCTTCTTGGAAAGCAGTTTATCCTTGATGGAGTTGCTGTGCTGTAAAAATGCACCAGCATCATTCGTAAGAACCATCTTTAAAAGCAGGGCCACCTCCCCCTAATGCACTTCTGTCAAAGTCAGGGCATGATACTAAAAATCATAAGGTCACCGATACTGTTTGGACTTATTACTAAATATGGAATTCTAGTAGATGCTTTTTACATGCATTTTGAGTCTACCAAGCAATAATTCCTCCTTTTTTTTATATAAACATAAAGACATGAATTATTAAAAAATTAAAGACATTTAGAATGATGGTCCTCCATACGCAAAGTATTTATTTCAACTTTCATCATTCATAGTTTATTGCATTGATTTTTTTTCATCAGTTTACTTAGTATTAGGCTTCCACTGAACTCATCAATAAGAAATGAGTTTTGTAACTTTCAAATCCACTATATTATTTTAGCTTTTATTTGTAGTGAATTTTTCTTCTCTCCATGGTATTGCTGCAATAAGTCAGTCATTATTTCTTTATGTTTTCCCTTCTATCTTTAGTATTTCATTTCCCTTTACAGCACATCTTGTGATCACAAAGAAAACAGAGACACTTATTTCTTTTAACAGTTGAAATTGCTGCGAGTGATTTAGCTGTCATTTAATTTGATTCCTCTCTTCTGTCTGTGGAGAAATATGTTTAATGTACTGGAAATTATGTTAATAAGAAAAAGCATTATCTCATTTAATGAAATAAATATACAAATATTTCAAAATAAAATAAAGAGGCAATCTTCACTGAGAAAAATGTCTCTTATGGTTTGCATAAAATAAACAAATGAGAAAACAAAATCATGAATACATTGAAACACTGACAAAAATTACGCCTACATTCAAAAGGGGAGGGGAGGCTTGGTAACTGAATTACCCACAAGTTAATCAAATGTCTTTTGGAAAAATATGGGGCGCATATTAAGAATCAAGTTGTTAATCTTACATCTCCAATTACCTCCAGAAAAATCATTTTAATTTGTTTAGAATGGACACTGGCATGTTGAAAAGTTTTCTTTGTAATTTTTCTGTGCTATTTCAATTGGTCTTTCAATGACTGCTATGGCTTGAATTAATAATTATCAGCAATCTCATTGAAAATATGACCCAACCCATATAACTACAAGAAAGGTTAGAATTCCTTTGATTTTTGCTAATCAAAACAGTCAATGAACTCTTTCCAAAGCTTTTATATATTAAAATTTATTTAATGTACAAAAAGGTTAAATAAATATTGTTAATGATTTGAGCAAAACTTGAAGCAATTATGTAATAAAAGCGTGACCACGGTAACAGAAACACATAATTAGCAATTTAATTACTGGCATGAAGACAAGCTAAAGATGTCAATAAAAAAAAAAAATCTTTAGTGACAAGCCGATTTTATTCTCTTTATTGCAATTTGTGAGAAATATTCACCACCTGATAAATAAAACCATTTTTATACAAAATACCTAGCCTACCAGATAGTGAAAAAAAAAAACTTTAAAATATTTCTGATTTCATATCTTTACATAGTGAACCATTGTAGTTTCTCCCTCTTAGATTAGCACTTTCTCTTCTCTGAAAATACTGTATTTCAAGCCAGCAAGTAAAGACCATTATGTTTTTTAAAATGAGTTAAAGTAGCAGCTGTTCTTTGTTTCAATTTCATTCTTTTCCAGCTTCAATAATGTCTGACAGAAATGCTTCCCTATATATGACATTCCAAATATCCTATCTTTTCTCATCTCCTAAATTTCAGCTCAGAAACACACCTAATCCATGGATTGTTTTAAAAGGAGATAAACGCCAACTCTAGTAGAAATAGTCAGGCTGTTTGGGGCATTCCTCTGGGTCTTTCACAATTTCTTTTTCTGCCCCATCTCTGTATATAGAGTTATCGGTGGGAGGTGAAAGAGAGAAACGAGTACGTTTGGTTTATTGTGATATGGTCCACTTGTATTTTTTTCATCACAATCCCAAGTTTCAGATTTTTAAACAGTGCTGAACTACTTATCTTAAAGTGTTGGGGATGAATGCTCACTACCTTCTATGTCGCTGATATTTAACCAGCAGTAGAAAACAGATAGCTCAAGATAGAACCATATTGAAGGAAGTTTTCCATCTTGCGATGAAAAGTGAATCATCCTGGCTGGTGTTCAATAACCACTTGTACAAGCCCAGTGCATGGAGTGAAATCATGAAAGCCAGACTTGCTAAAAAGTTTGGTCTATAAATAAACTTGAAGCATGATGGAATATACTTAAAAATAAACTCCAGCCACTAGAAACTTAATAAATAACTCCTAATAACATCGCCTTTTGTAATTAATCTACTGATTCTAATCATTTTGACATACACTTCCCACCAGATACCCTAACTAAATATTCAAGTTTTGAGAGAAGGGTATATAATACAAACTCAAGGTTGCTAAGGAAATTGAAAATGTTCTTAAAAGCATATTTTACTTGGCTATAATTTGATAAATGTGAAGAAGGCAAATAATTGGGAGATGACTTTTTGGAACCTCGTTGCTAATATACTAGAATCATTCATTTCTTACATATATTTGGGTTAGAGGTTGTTCACTTTCATATAAAGTTCCCTTTCCCAGAAGCTTTTGATCACTGTTTACTATATATCACCATCAGCTTCTAAGTTTCTGTTTCAGCCATAATCACAAACTTATTTCGATTTTACATCTGGAATTACCTAGGCTTGAAATGATCTTTCCTTCTATACTTTTGTGGTCCAGATACAAGTTGTCCTAAATAAGCATGTTAATCTACAAACCTACATTAAAAATTCTCCCATATTACTATTGTGGAGGGTGGTTAAGCAATGGGACCCGCCTTTAAGAAGCTCAAAGTCTAGCCCGGCCAGGCGTGGCTCAATGGTTGAGCATCAACCTATAATCCCGGGGATCGAGGTTCGATTCCTGGTCAGGGCACTTGCCTGGGGTTTTGGGCTTGATCCCCAGCAGGGGGCCCGCAGGAGGCAGCCGATCAATGACTCTCTCATCACTGATGTTTCTCTCTCTCTCTCTCTTCCTCTTCCTTCCTCTCTCTGAAATCAATAAAGACATGTTAGAAAAAAAAAAAAAACCCTCAAAGTCTAGTTAAGAAGATGGTGTGCCCAAAGGNAGAAAAAAAAAAAACCCTCAAAGTCTAGTTAAGAAGATGGTGTGCCCAAAGGCAATGGTTGCCTTATAATTCAAGTGTAGCGATGATAAATGCCAAACGGATACCACAATAAACACAGGAAAGTTCATAGGATAAAGAGGGTAGACCCCTTTGCAAGCGGATACTACAGGGAGAGATTTATAAAGATTTCAAATTCAACATCTCATTTGAACTTATGAGGTAAACAGCCTCTTGTATAGGTGAAGAAACAGAGATTCAAAAAGGTTAAATAATTTATCTAAACAAAAATGTATTACAATAAGGACAAAAGCATAGTCCTGTGGATCCTGCGGTCCAGGCATGAAGAGAGCATTGGAGATGAAGGAAAGATCAAGGGGGTGTGAAGCAGAGAGGGAGGGAGGAGGTCCCTAAAACCTGCAGGACAAATGCCATGTGATTGAGCTTCTCTGGGTTTCTTGCCTTTAATTGTTCCAAGAATGAAATTTGTATGGCATATATCAGGGAAAGTTTATCATTCAACCACTGTAACTTACCCCAGAGATACAATGAAAGAAAAAAGGAATACTCTTATAATAGTAACCCACCAGAAACTCTAACTTTCCCCAACCAAACCCCGTCTGAATTTCTCAGCTTTGTAAACCATTAACTTTCATTACACTTTTATCAAGGGAGAGCTGAACACTGCTCTCTGAACAATAACAGCAACAACAAAACACAAAACAACACCTAAATTCACATCCATGTAAAGTGTGAAATGAAAAAGGAAAAATAATATTTTATCATTCTGGGAAGCCAAAACACTTTAAATAAGTTTTCTTCTTTATCACAGTACCTTGTATCCTTGTATTGTTACAAATGCATTGATATTGTCCATTACACTATTTAGGGACATTAAATATTGTTTTTGTTGAGATTCTTCTCTTGAAAAACTCCCCCCAAAATGTGCTGCTAATTAATAGCATGATTATTTGCCACACAAAAAAAAATTGTTCAATGAACTTTTAGCGAATAAATTGTAAGGCACCTTACCGGGGAGGTGAGGAAAAGAGGGGAGCGGGAAGAGAAAAGAAAGTGAGAGGAACGACCTATCGGAAAATACAAAGGTGTAGTGTCCAAACCACAAATCTTCATGAGTTAA